GTGCATGTAGAAATTTTTGAAATGGTGTATCTTTGGCTATGTGTATTTTCACCAAAAAAAAAGGTTGAGAAGTTAGAGGGTTGATATGTTGTGAGGTTGTTAACCAATGTCATAAAACAACATGTGTACTTCTGTTTCATGAGAAACTATTTGTTCTGTAAGCCTTCACCTGAAGTACAATAAAAAAATGCATTAATTAATTAATTTTAAAAAAAAGTCATATCAGTGTTGCTAAATAGCTTTTTTTTTTTTAATGACCTTTTTTATAAGGATATAGTGAACGGTAAATTTTGGTACTTAATATTAAAAAAAATTTTGCTTTACTACATATGGGGGTTATTTTTTGAAATGGTTCATTAAATTATTATGGTATTACATAGGGAAAGTCAAAGATACTGGTTTTAGTTCCATCTCTGCAATTTGGCAGTGGTGTGATGGTCTTGGATAAAATAGTTTTCTCCACACCTCCCTCATCTTACAGCTCCTTCATCTGTAAAATAAGTATGATAATATGTAACACCTGTAAAATAAGAATGATAATATGTAACACCTACCTCACATGATCATTATTATGAGAATGAAATTCATTCAGTGAATATTTATTGAACATGTACTATGTGACTGGCATTTTCCTAGGTACTTGGGATACCTCGGTGAACAAAACGAAGATCCCTGCCCTCATAGAGTTTATATTTTAAAAAGAGTGGGAGGCCAAATGGTCAACAATTACTCTAAAGCAAAAATAAGAATATAAGGGTACAGGGAAACTAGAACATTGGAAACGGAACAACCAGAACACAAAGAGAATGCTGACACATTGTGAAAAATGTAACTAATGTCCCTGAACAGTTTGTATAGAAATTGTCAAATGAGAATCAAATTTGCTATGTAAACTTTCACTGAAAATGCAATAAAATATTATTTAAAACAATAAATATAAAACGAACAGTAAACACTATAAATAAGCAAATTATGTGGTATGCTAGAAGGTGATAACTGCAAAGGAAAATTTTAAAAATAGACCAGGATAAGATGGATTGATAGTGTTGGATGGAGAACAGGAAAGAAAGCATATTACAGAATTATATAGGGTAGGCTGATAGGTCTCACTGAGGAGGCAAGAAGTTTATAAAGATTGAAGAAGGGTTTAAAAAAAAAAAAAAAGAATTGAAGGAGGTGAGGAAGATATCAAAATTCTCAAGGAAGAGCTTCCAGGCCGAAGAACAGCCAGTGCAAATTCAAGAGGATGTTTTGGTGTTTGTGGAACAATGAAGATGGCAATATGACTGGATTGGTTGAAGGGAGAACAGTTGAAACAAGATCAGAGAGGTAATGGGGTCGATTGATGTCATTGTAAAAATTTTGATTTTAACCATATGTGAATGAAGCATTGCAGGATTTTGGAAAGAGGCGTAGCATGATCTGACTTACATTTTTAAATGATCATTCTGGCTGGTATATAGTAGACCTTTAATAAATACTTGTTGATTTAATTACTTTAAATTAGTATTAAAGAACTTTCTTAATGTCCTACGTAACAGTATTTAGAGAAGATTTTCTGTTTGCTGAGAATGGACTAAAGAGTTATAAGAATAGAATCAGAGAGACTTGTTAGGAGGCTCTTGTACTATGGTAGACTACTTCAGATTGGATGATAGTAGTGGAAATGTTATCAACTGTTTGAATTCTGGACATATTTTATATGTAAGCCAATTGGATTTCCTGATGGATTGGATGAAGTGGGTGAAGGAAAGATGGGAGTCAAATTAACTCCAGGGTTTTTGGCCTGAGTAACTGGAAGGATGGAGTTGCGTTTAACTGGGATGGGTAGGCCGTGGATGAGACAGATTTGGGACAAAAAAGCAGTTCAGCTTTTACTCATATTGAGTTTAAGAGATTTATTACATATACAGTTTGAGATAGATGTACAAGTCTGAACTTTGGGCGATAAATGTTTAAGAGTTTTCAGCATAAAGATATTTAAAGCCAGAATGAGATTGCCAGTGGAGAGTAACTACAGAGAAAAGCAAGGCCTGGGCTCTAGGGCACTTCAGTATTGAAAGGTAGGAGAGAAGAAAGAATGATGTTCTGGAAGCCAAGGGAAGAAGGTTTGTCAAGGAAGAGAGAGTGACTAACTGTTTCAAATGCTGCTGATAGGTCTGGTTAAGATGAAGACTGAGAATTGACATTGGAATTAATGAAGTCATTCATAACCTTATCAAGAATAGTTCTGGTAGAATGGTAGGGTCAAAAGCTTGAGTACAGTGTGTTTAAGAGTGAGTGGGAGGATGCCTGGCTACCATTACTGAACATATTGATCAAGAACTCAGTAGATTGATTCTGATCAAAGGGAGAAAAATCATGGAGCAGAACTTCAAATTTGTATGGAAACCAGACTTACTAGAGCCATTGATAGTGGGGAGACCCCTGAATCTATTGCCCAGAAACAATCTTTAAACCTTCAGCCAAAACTAGCCCGTGAAACTATTGATAAACTAAACAGTTTAACTCAGTTAATAAAAAATGTTTGCCTTGAGCATTAGGCTCTTATAAAGAAGTATCTATATGAGTTCAAACTGACAACTGTTAATCTAAAGCACAGATGAGAACTTTAAGGGGCAGAGAGTCTTAAGTTACTGGTAGAGATAGTGAGAATGGTGACACAATGTTAAGGATGTAACCAATGTCATTGAATTGTACATGTAGAAATTGTGAATGGATATATGTTTGGTGTGTGTATTGCCACTAAAAAAAAAAAAGTGAATGGAAGGAAAGGAGTTGAAGAGAGAAGTATAGACAACTTTGAGAAATTTTACTGCATAGGGGAACAAAGAGAACAGGCTAGAGGTGACAGGAAGGGTTTTTTGTTTTTTTTTGAGGATAGGAGATGCCACAGCTAATTTATGTAAAAACACACTGTAAACAGTAGAAATATTTCTCATTGTCACAACAATAAAAAGGCATTCATTTAATTGTTAACCAGAAGCATAGGCAGCACTGGGTAGTTTATACTTGAGTTTAATACTTACCACTTCATTCTGATCCATGTGGTAAAAACAATCAACTGTATTTCGGGAATAGCCAATAACATATGCTTCTGTAATTATGATATTTGGGAGAAAGTATTAGAATATAGGGCTGTTTGTTGATTGAAATTACTTCTGATGGGTTTTGAAGAAGTTTCTTAATATCCCAGATAATAGTTTTAAAAGAAAATGATTTAATTAGTAAAGTGAAATCATTTATCTCTTAATGACCCGATTTTTGTTTTTAATTGTACTTCAGGTGAAGGCTTACAGAACAAATAGTTTCTCATGAAACAGTAGTACACATATTGTTTTATGACATTGGTTAACAACCCCACAACATGTCAACCCTCTCCCTTCTCAACTTTTTTTTTTGGTGAAAATATACATTGCCAAAGATACACCATTTCAAAAATTTCTACATGCACAGTTCAGTGACATCGAGTGCGCTCTTCCAGTTGTGCTGCTTTTCTCACTTTAGATGAAGGCTTTACAGAACAAAATATTTTCTCATTTAACAGTTACTACAAATGTTGCCCCATGACAATGGTTAACAACCTCACAACACATCAACACTA